GCAGGATTAGAGGCCTGCTCCGCCAGCCCTGAACCCCCTGACTGGGAAGGAGTCACCCAACGCCACCATAAGCCATCGGAAACGACCCAAAAAGCCCACAAATCGTAAGACCATGCGTGAGCAAACAGAGCAAGCTTCACCCCCCACCCCATCGCCCCGTCAATGGGACGAAAGGAGAGGAAAACCTAAGAGCCAGGGCCCAGGCAGATTCGAAGGAGGCATCGAGCACTGCCTGCCCACACACGAGACGTCAAGCATAAAAACAGAAGTACCGCATCCCACAGGATCGGCTCAAACAACTTGAGCAAAGAAGACGTTGCCCGCGCCTCCGAGACCAAAGCACCGGACCCAGGAACAGCCCCAAGCACCTCTACATCCTCCGAAAGCCAATCTGAGGACAGCTCAAGGAGGGAAAATAACTGCAAGACCGACACCAACAGGCCACGTGCGCGCAAATCCTCAGCAACGAGTGCAGCCGAAAGGGAAGGAACCTGCAAGTGAAGCTGCACCATGCCAACATCCCGAGGAAGGACAGGGGCGAATAAGCACGCATTGAGGTGTTCAAATTCGCCCCCAGGCAAACCTGGACCACTGTCCCAGCCTCACGTCTCACATGCGGGACCGACAGAACGTGTGCCAAGCCTCCAATGACGAAACATTGCAGTCCGCTACCCAGGACGACTCCGGAACCTCATAACGAACCCAGGGAGGCAACAAAAATCCAAACCTGAACGAAGAAGGATCCATCATGGTGGCATTATCTGGCATTATCATGCAGGAGGTAAACTGCAATGGCTCCACCTCATGAGGCGGGAACGGGACGCCAAAAACCTCTGGAAGAACAGGACTGATGGATCCAAAGGAACACAAAACTGAACCCAGGGAGGGGCTGACACCAAATCCAACTCATACGAGGTGGAGGGAGGGAAGAAAACCCCACTCAGAGGGTACAAAAACCCAAGCGGGGTCCAACGGGCCCCAAGACCCCCTCCCAGTCAGTCCTTGCCTTGCTCCAGGAACCTCCAAAGCAGGACCCAGGGCCCGAGCCATTCCCTGAAGCCCCGGCCTCACAAGAAAAAGCCAGGGAAAAAAAAAAAAGTCACTGTTGCACAATGACAGCTCCTTTTAAAGTTGAAGTAATTGCTGACCGGGAGGGCGTGCAGAGATCCTTTACTGCTAGAATCCACTCAGCAAAACATCTAAACTAATGGGACCGACTAAAATGCATTAATCTGTATTCTCTTGAGCGCAGGCAGGAGAGAGAAACTAATTTACTCGTGGAAAATAGTAGAGGGCCTGGTCCCAAACCTGCACACAGAAATAACATCGCATGAGACCAGAAGGCATGGCAGGATGAGCAGAATACCCCAATTGAAAAGTAGAGGTACAATAGATACTCAGAGAGAACTCTATCAACATCAGAGGCCCGAGACTGTTCAACATGCTTCCACTACACTTAAGGGGCATAACTGGCCGACCCATCACAGTGTTCAAGAGAGAACTTGATAAGCACCTCCAAAGGATACCTGATCAACCAGGCTGTAACTCATACGTCAGGTTGCGAGCAGCTGCGTCCAACCACCTCGTTGCTGACCAGTCCAGCAACGAGGAGACCTGGTCAAGGACCGGAATGCAGGGACGCTAAGCCCCGAAACCATCTCGAGGTAACCTCAAGGTAAGGTGACTTGTGGAAGGTGACCCCCAATCCCCAAGGGCGGTACTTACAGGGCACCTAAGGAAGGTAACCATAGGCGCGTGCAGACAGAGTACTTGTGAAATTACTCCTGGCTCGTGCACCACCAGAGAAACAGCACCACACAAGGCACAGAGCTGGAGAACAGGTAAACAGGAGACAGAGTCACACGACCATTGCCAATCACATCAGCGACAGAACTGGGGTGTGGATAGTCGGAGTGAGGGTCTGGGGCTAGGGAGAGGGGGGTACAGACAAGCGGCATGGCGATGTCATGTTCGTTTTCGTTTGGAGAGTTCTGTCCACTAGTTCGGCTTTCAGTAGTAATTTCTTAACCAGAATAGGGGTTTGTTTTGGGGCGCCTACCTTTCTGGGTGCCTGACTCGGTCGATGGCAGACAGAATGCTTCCAACCACACGGGGGTTTCTATAGGTCATTGCTCTTCATGCCTCTGAGGGGGCCAAGTTCTGGCTTGTGGTCCCAAGTCTAATATATCCATATCAGCCTGGAGAGCTCCGAGAAGCTGTAGAGGTTCCCCCCAGAAAGGGGTCGAAAATCTAAGAGCCAGGCCCAAGCGGATTTCGAAGAGTGGATGAGCACTGCCTACCTGCACGTGAGGCGGGAAGCAAAGAACAGACATTGCTTCCTTCAGAATCGGGGCAAAACTTCAACAAGGTAGCCGACGCCCGAGCCGCCGAGGCAAGCGCACCGGACATAGGCTCGATACCTAGCTCCTCCACATCCTCCTCGAGCCAGCCCGAAGACAGCTCCAGCAGTGAAAAGAAGCACAAGACCGAAGCCAAATGCCCATGGGTGCGAAAATCCTCGCCCACCAGAGACGCTGAAATGGAGGGATCCTGCACATGTAGCCGCACCTGACCGGTATCACGAGGAAACATGGGGGGCGAACAAGCATGCATTGAGGTGCTGAAACTCGCCCCCCCAGGTAAACCTGAACGACTGTAATCAACTCCCACCACTCAAGCGTGCAGGTCCGACAGAACGCATGCCATGCCCCAAACGAAGAGAGAGGACAGTCTGCCAGCCAGGAAGACTCCAGCACCTCATAATGCACCTAGTAAGGAAAAGAGGAGCTAAACTCAAGAGAAGGAACCATTATCGAGGCGTAATTTGGGTTTTGAAGAAGGTAAGCCGCAAGGGCCTCCCACACCTTCCTCGGCGGGATGCGGGTGGCTGAAAACCTCCAAAAAGAGGGAACCGAGGCTCATAAGGGAACCCGGAACCGAACCCAGAGAGGAGTCGAGCGCACGTCAAACTCGTACAGGGAGGGAGGATAGGAAAACCCCTCCCCCTGTAACAACAAGCCCCACGCCGAGGGTACCAACACCCAAGTGGTTTCAAACGGGGTCAAAGCCCCCAAGTCGATTATTCCCCAACCCCAGAATCCTCCACATCAGGACCCGAGACCGAGCCATCCTCCAAACCTCCTGCCTCTGGAGAAAAGGCAGAGTCCACCGGAACAGCAGGGATGAAGGGGGCCCACTGGCGTGACCCAAAAGCCCCAGTAGGAGGAACAGGCTCGAATGCCTTTGCCGCCGAACTGAAGGGCAGTCCATGAAGCCGCCCAAGTTTCACCACCAAGAAAACCATGCCCCGACTTCGAAACCCTCAGACGTTTGGGAGCCAGGAGCAGGGAGGTGGGGAAGCAGGATGAACGACAGCAGGGGAAGGACAAGGGGGCGCAGACTAAACCAATGTCGAGGCAACTAACGTCCCCAAGTCCGGGATCTCTAAGCAAAGCAGGGCATCTAGAAAGGCAACCAACCTAGCTCGTTGCAGCAACCTAAACCGTGCATGTAATGCTGAAGCTGCCTGCACCTGAATATCAACATCAGTGGACTGGATAAACTAGAGTATAAACAAGGGAAAACCACTTGCAGGACTCGGGGTCAAAGGTGTCATTGACCCAACAGGCAGCATAACAAAGGTAAAGACGGCAAGTCTCACCCTGAGACAAGGGGGACAGAGCAACTTTCAAACTTGCACGAGCGAGGTGGGACTAAAAGGTCTCCTCCATTGGACTAACGAGCCCCAATGGGTGGTTCCCATGACCCTTAGGCTGACTTAAGGGAAGCCCAGGCTAGGTACTGCTAACCTGGAGAATGGTCCAGGACGGACCGAAACGTCGTCGTCCCTTCACTTTCTAGTGTGTGGTCTGGTCAACGTACTGCTAACCAGTTATCCCAAAGCCACCAAGCGAACAAACTAAAAGCTGAACTCCTGTGACGTGTGCAAACACAGGGTCCTAGCAGAGGGCCAACAAAATCATACAGGTGATCCTACAGCCACACCAGGCAAACCCCCACCAGGCAAAACAAAAGAGAAACCCCGTAAAAGCACAAAGTCTCCAGGGGGAACAGAACCGGTCACTATGCATATATCAGATAGCTGCACAGTACTTTGCACCCTAGCCAGAGACGATACTACCTTCTACCCAAGGTCAAACAGAAGTAAGAACCACCCCAGCTGAATCCCAAGGGTAGGCGTTCACCGGGCAGCAACAGAACCACACGGAGGTAGCCTCTCCTGAACGACTCATGGAAGATAACCCTAAGCTGCAAAGGTAGTACTTACAGGGCATCTAGGGAAGTTAGCCCTAGGTGCATGCAACTCCAGTACTCTTGTGTTAATCCTGGCTCGCACACCACCAACACAGAACACCACCACCGCAAGGAAGCACAGTTCAAAAGGATAGAGCCAGAGTCGATCGACCGTCGCCAACACAGCAGCCTCTTGAACTAGGGTTGGCTATCCGGTACGGCGGCTGTAGTGACGTCATATTTGTTTGCTTGTTTTAGATTGAGGAGCTCTGTTTTCTAGTTTGGCCCTCGGTTTGCAATTTTTAACCAGATGTAGTTTGTTTTAGAATTCCTACCTTTCTGGGTGCCTGACCTGGTAGATGGCAGACAGACTGCTTCCAATTACATGGGGGTGTCTATAGATCATTGCTCTTCGTGCTTCATTCGAGGGGACCAGGTTCTGGCACTGGTCCCCGGAAGATCTAGAACTCCATCGATTCACTGTTGCCGTGGTCTAATATATGCACATCAGCAAGGTATAGCTCTGGGGAGCCGAAGGGGCTCTCCACAGAATGTCTTATTTTAATTCAGGAACTTCTTCTCTGATGTGTTGATGCCTTCACTTCCAAAATTATAAGGCATACATTCATGCTTCACATTATGAAGACACATGGCCACCCTGACAGCACCTGACACTGTTTTTAATAATTTAATTTCATTATAAAATACTGCTACAATAAATAGATACATTATGTGAAAGTGCATAC